GACTCACTGACAGCTGCAGCGAGTCAAACTAATTAATAGAATGACCGGCACGCGTTCAAGGGGGCGAAAGGAGAGCATCAGGCGGAGGAAGCAGCAGCTGCCTAAAGCACAATCCGAACAATTTGAGTTGTTGATGAACTCAGTTCGGATTAGTGTGCTTAAGAGGCGAACGCTGTGCTTCATCAACTTCAAGGCGATGTCCAAAGAGAAACAAACAACCATCAATCGTAAGTCACTTATGGAGCAAATTTTCCACAACTTTTCAGGCATATATCACAACACAGATCTGTTGGGGAATCGTGTGTAAATATAGAGTGTAAATGACGTTCGCTTATTGAAGAAAACCTACACAAATGAAAGGTAATACAATGATATCCAATGATATTCAATACCCACCCTTGTGGCGACACCAGACTGTATAAATAAAGCGAAATGCTGAACTAGAGATTCATTTCCTATAAATTTGCTTGTTTATGAAACCAAAAGCAAACCACAAAATTTGATTAAAGCCGGCAGACAAGAATGAGGCTAGACTTTTTCGAAGGTTTCTGGTGGGTTTTTTAGGGACTTGAAACAGTAAACCGAATAGACGTAGAAACTCAAATTGAGTAAAAAATAAAATCGACTTTCAAGCAATTCTGCATTTAAATTATTATATTAAATGTTTACACTAAAAGATAATTACGTCATCGGAGTAATATTTCTCAGCTAGAGACGTTAACATTTTTCTAACATTTAATGTTCAGTTGCAGCTGCATAAAATATAAATAAATATACAAATATTTAAATAATGTATAAATTTCCGTTTTAGTTAGTTAAATTTCAACAGAATATACATATATTTAAATTAAATATATATTTGCAATTGCTCATTTTTTAAAAAAATACTTATAAAAAAAAATACTCCATTTTAATGTTAGATAAAAGCAAAACCAATATAGCGTAAATAATTCCAATTGGATACTCACTGTTATTTGTTATTTGTGGCGACTGGGTATGAAAAATCCAATTGGGGTTTCTGTTGTTGTTGGGGTGTGTGTGTGTGTGTGTATGTGTATGTGAGCGTGTCTATGTGAATTGTGTTGATGTTCTGTGTTGTGTTTGTGTTGTATGATAAGTATATGACCAGCTAGACCCAAGTAGATGTAAAAGTTGCAGTTGTTGTAGTTGTAGTTGTAGCACTAGTAGTAGTAGTAGTTGTTGTAGTTGTTGTAGTTGTAGTAAGTTGTAGACATATAGACGAGACGACGACGACGACAACAACGACGATGGTAGCGACAATGGTGATTTGAATGCGAATTGTTGTTTGTGCAACTTCTTCTAGAATTCGGCAAACTCCTTGGCGCACTTCTCGGTGCTGGAAATTCGCAACGCCTCCTCCTCGTAATCATCGAAATTGCTTGTGTCTCCGGGCCCTTTACACCGCGGTATGAACGGCGCCTCGATTTTCTTTTGGAAGATCGCTATCCAGTCCGTGGAGGCGAACCATTTCTGATTCTTAATATCATTGACGCCCGCTTTCAGATTGCCATAGCGTTTGGTCAGATCCACTTGCAACAAGTTGCGCAACAGATCCTTCAGATCGGAGCCGAAGTGCGAGGGGAAACGCACCTTGCCGGAGACGATCTTCTCGTAGATCTGTATGGGTTGGTCCGCAAAGAACGGCGGATAGCCGGCGGCCATTTCATAGACCAGCACGCCCAACGCCCACCAATCGACGGCCTTGTTGTAGCCCTTGGACAAGATTATTTCGGGTGCCAGATATTCGGGTGTGCCGCACAGCGTCCAGGTGCGACCCTTCACACGTTTGGCAAAACCGAAATCGGTGACCTTCAAATAACCCTGCGAATCAATCAGCAAATTCTCCGGCTTCAGATCGCGATAGATGAGGTCCAGATAATGCAAATACTCAAAGGCGAGCACAATCTGTGCCGCATAGAAACGGGAGTGGGGCTCCGAGAATCTTCCGACTTTGCGCAGATGCGAGAACATCTCGCCGCCGGGCACATACTCCAGCACCATATAGAGATTGGAGTTGTCCTTGAAGTGATAGCGGAGCGAGACCAAGAATGGGAACTGTATCGCCTGCAGGATGCGCTTCTCATTGAGCGTATGCTCCACCTGCTTCAGCTTGACCACCTTCTGCTTGTCCAATATCTTCATGGCATAATAGTCTTTTGTTGGCTTGTGCTGGACGATCATGACACGGCCAAAGGAGCCGGTGCCCAGTGTCTTGATCCGCTCGAAATCATCGAGCGCCGCCGTATTGGTTGGATTGCGACGCCATTTATCCTCGAACTCCTCCTTGGCCTGTTCGAGAAACTCCTTCACCGTCTCGGCGGCATCCACCTTCTTGTTGGATGTGGTCGCGTTGTTGCCCATTTTCGAGATGGTGCCCGTCAGCGAGGACAAACGAAACGTGGCGCTGGCCGAGACCTGGGCCTGGGGTGAGCTGTTGCTGTTGCCTGGATTGTTCGCCAGCGGCGGCTCCTCACCAGAGGCAGCAGCTGTGTCTTTCGCTTTGGCTATGCCGGCTGCGGCTCCGACTCCTGAATCAACACCAGCTGCTGATGTTCTTGCTGCTGTAGCTCCCGCTCCTGCTCCTGCTGCTGATGATGATGATGTGGCTGTGGTCGGCGGCGTTATTTTGTGGCTAGCGGCGGCTGCTTCCTGCTGTCCTCCACCTGCACCACCGCCTTCCTCCTCGTTGCTGTTCTGCTGCTGTAGCTTGCCCTCTGATCCGCTGCCGCTGCCGCTTGCCGTCCCTGAACTATGATGGGATTTTTTCTTTTTTAGAAATTGTAAAATGGATTTAGCTATTTTGGCGAATTGATTAACAACGGTAAAAAGGAAATTTTTAATGCAATTGGGCTGATTGCAAAGCGCAGCTATTCACGTTTAGCCGTTTTTCTTTTAGCCTTCGTTTTCTTAGCCGTCAAATCGGACTGTTTAACTCGTGCTCTTGTTGGATTAGTGGAAGCTTCAGCTTTTGTTGTTGTTGGTGTTGTTTTTTTTTTTTAATTATTATTATTTTTTTAGTTTTAACTATTTATTGCAGTTTTGTTTTCATTAATTTTATATATAACTGTGTTTTCTTTTTACTTTTGTTAACACTTTGCGGGCTTAAACTAGTTTTACACTTTAAGCTTAGATTAACATTTGGTTTAACACTTGAAATTTGCTTAAATTCCGCTCATTAATTTAAATTTAATTTTTTTTCTGTGTAGCTGCAAAGAGAATGGTGTAAGAAAAGGATAAAACAAACATTAGCATTGAAAATTTTGATTTAACTTTGTAGTTTATTTATTTATTTATTACTTTTTTATATATATATGTGCACAATAATTAGAGAAATTTTATAGAGTTGCCAGTTTTTATTTTTATTTTCTTTTACTTTTCACTGTTCTTTTCTTAATTTTTCTTTGCATTTTAATACTTATTTCGTATATTGATTTTGCTCTTGACTTTGTTTGTATTTACATTTGCTTTTGCGTCAACTGAAACCAAACTATGCACAGAAAACAATTTAACTCAATAAATAAACCAATTTGCATTAATTAACACAACGAAAAAATCAAAGCGCAACTCGTTTAGGCAAGCAAAAACAGTAGCAAAGGAAATATAACAACAACAGCAAAAGCCAAAAAGTAAAGTCAAATACAGAAACAAAAAAAAAAAAAAAAGCCAAGAAAAAAACAACACGAGCGACGATCGTGTCAAGTGTCAGAACAGCTGATGACCGACATATGGTGCGTGCTCGCTCGCACCCACTAGCAGCTGCATCAGCTGCCAGCTCAGTGAGCACTTTTGTCTTCGCAGCTAAACTCAAGCTAAAGCATTAAATTAATTATTAAATCTTTCGCTTTGCGTTTGCATTTGCACTCACACGCACCAATACATATTCACACACACACATAGACTGTATTTTGCTTTTGCACTTGTTTTTCTTTTTCGCAATTGCTTTTGCGCTCATTTACTTTGTATACGCGTTTAGCCGTTTATCTCTGTATGTGTGTGTGTGCGCGCGAGTGTGAGCAAAGGTATTTGTATGTGTATGTACGTTTCTGGTTGGACTTTTTTACGCTCTGCTTTTGGTATACACTTCTCTACATTTTGCAGTTTGCTTCGTCGTATTTTTGTCTTCTCAATTGTCTTTGCTGTATTTTAAATTAGTTAAATTGGCATATTATGATAAGTTTTCCGTTTATAGTCGTATGCCCAGTGCATAAAAAACTTAAAACAAACACACACACACGCTTGCTTGCTCACTCACACATACACCGTACTATACGCACACGCATATGCATACACACACGTACACACACAGATTGAATAATCGATTTTGCTACACACACACACGCTAAAAATGGCTTTGCATTTGCTATAATTTACCTTTATTTAACTAATATTATGTTTATCGTAATCTTCAACACATTTAGAAATTTTTGAAATTTTTTCATGAATTTTTTGTATTTTTTCTTTATTTTGCACTTTAAATTTGTTGCTTAGATTAAAATACCCGCATTTACCGCCGAAAAAACCCGACCACACGCGTCAACAGCAAGATATACAATAACAGTTTTGTGTAACAGCTGTTAGTGTCGACGCACGATGTTAACAAGTGCTGTTCTCAACAGTCCAATAAGATGTACGTGCAAGTAATCTTATGAGAGCGGAGAGAGTAATCCTATTGGTGTAGGAACATGTTGCGCTGTTAAACAAACTTCGCCGCATTATTCGATATGTTCGATGACAATTCATTTAATAAGAACAATACAAGTTTCAATCTAAATTTACTATTTAATATATAAATTGTGAATTTAAAAATTGTAAAATGTATTTAAATTACAAAGATAAATAAAATAAACACTGAAAACTATATTTAAGTTTTAAAAAAATATTATCGTTATCGATGCAGAGTCGAAATACAGCTCATCGTATTTATACCAAAAAACTAGTATATTTGTAGGTATTTGCTGATAACCCGTCTGTAGCTTACATTTTGTATTGATATAGAAAGAAAACATAAACAAATAGAGGATTTGAAAATCATTGACTTTCTATTTAAAATGGATGAAGTTTGTCGCGTTTGCACAAGCAGCGCAGTCACTCTAGTGGATATATTCGCCAAGCGCGACCAATCCGACGAATCCGAGCCCTGTCTGGCCGAGATGCTGAACGAATGCGTTGACTGTCTCGTAAGACGCGACGATCCGTTTCCCAAACAAATTTGCTTATCCTGTGTGCTGGCTGCGCAAAATGCATATCGTTTCAAACGGAGGTGCGAGCAGAGCTATCAACACTTCTGTCAGCTGCTCCGCGAGGCGTGGCAATATCCGGAGTGCACCATCAAAGTAGAAGCTAAGGAAATTGAGGAAGAGGAGCGAGGAGTCAATAGAAACAATATAGAAGTGCACATAAAGAGCGAGGAGCAGGAGTTCATGGAACCGATAGCCAACTCAAACACCAGTGAACAGCTCAATGAATCAGTCCAACTGCAATCAAGTAAATCGGACAATGCTCAGCCATGTCCCGTTTGCTCAAAGGCTTTCACGAACCAAGGCAGCCTTAAGAGGCATATTCGGATTCATTCCGGCGAGCGACCCTATACCTGCATCTACTGCCAAAAGACCTTCAATCAAAGTGGTAACCTGCACAAACATATGAGATTGCACACAGGCGAGCGCCCGTTTAAGTGTGTCGAGTGCCCGAAGTCCTTCACACAGAGCAATCATCTGGCCAATCACATACGCATTCACATACGTTCATGGCAGGTTAAGGAGCGGCCTAGTCCTGTCGACAGACTATACAAGTGCACAGAATGCTCAAAGGCCTTCACTAGCAAATGGTATCTGCAGGAACACATACGCGCCCATGCCGGTGAACGTTCCTTCAAGTGTAGCCTTTGCCCCAAGACATTTCCGAGTAGCGCAGATCTGCAGCGGCACAGTCGGGTTCACTCTGGCGAAAGGCCGTATAAGTGCATGCACTGTCCAAAAACGTTTACCCAAATTGTTAATCTGGAAAGGCATAAACGTGTCCATTCTGGGGACCGCCCCTATCAGTGTCCACATTGTCACATGGCCTTCACGCAGAGCAGCCATTTGGTCAACCACATTCTCACTCATTCGGGAGAACGGCCTTTTCAGTGCTTGGAGTGCATGAAGAGCTTCACCCGGAAAGAGTATCTAGAAAAACATAGACGAATTCACTCATTTCCATAAGCAGGCATTCCAAAAAGTAAAGTAAAGTAATAGTTTAATACATAGTAAATAAATAAAAATTATGTTAATTTAAATTAGCGTTTTTAAATTTTCCGCGTCTATCGAAAGTAATCGATTGTTAACCATCCACAGTCTCTTTTGAGTTCCAACATGACAACGCGCTGTTAGTCTACTGTGAACCAACCGCGTTACAGCACCCCACTGCAAAGTTAGCTGCGACAGAAAAAGAGAATACAACATAAATCGGGACTGCGAGTCATTAAAATAAATAAATAACAATAACAAAAAATGTGAAAAATGCAATTAAGAAACTAGCACAGGCTATTTTTGTAATAAATTAATTTGCAATATAAAAATAATAAGAAAATAATAAAGCGAACTGTGACGTTGGTATATAAATAAAAATATATACATACACAACATACGCACATATGTGAGTGTGTAAGCGCGCGCGTATGTGTGTTTTTATGTGCACTGCGTTTCCTGCTGCATAATTCGCCAGCTATCTCTTTTATTTGGAATATATTTTGTATCAGGTGAGTGATTGGTAAATCAATGCAGACATGCATTTAATAAATGCGTATCAAATTGTTTGGGTCGCGTGCGCCCCATGACTCAATCACTATCGTCGATGCAGGTGGGACAACAAACAACAATACAAATTCTTAGTCATACACATTGCAAAGCCCACATAAGTGTTGTTATTTTTTTTTTTTTGCTTACCTCAATTGTTGGCGCCGTTTAGGTGCAAATGTACTCAAAATGCACTCGTGCGCTGCGTACATTTATCCACAGTCATAACAGACTTCAACCCGTTTACGGATATTCATCCGCCGTCATAACAGACTTCAAACTGCTCACAGTGATATTCTGTTAACATGAAAACGGTTATTGACGATCATAAAAAGAGCTACAGCATGGTGAATTGTGTAATTAGAACAAATTTAAGTGCATAGGAAGTTAAGTTAAAAGTCGCTGACTATAAGCAAACTAAATGAAATGCCAAAAGGCTGAAACGCTTAACTACGAAATTGGAATGCCAAACCAACCCCAGTGGGCTAAGGTCTGTCAGCGTAAATATATATGTGTGTGTGCATATGTGCATGTGTGCGAATGCGTTCATTCACTTCCAAATTAGCTTTTGCCTCGCTCTTCACTGTGAATTTATTGTTGTCATTTAGTGCGGCCTTCTCTACAGCGTAATTACGGTTATGGCTGCTTGTAGCATAGCATTCCTTCCCTCTCCCTCTCCCACACGATAACTGCGCAACTCTTTTCATTTGACTTCACTGCGAACTTTATCTATTTACATGCACCCAAATAACTGGTCGTACGTTCAGTTGTTCATTCTAGGTGCGCGTGCACCGAGCCAAACGTTTTTCGCTTATAACAAACAATAACAGAGTGAAGCCAAAGCAAAAAGCAACTACTACTCTACGTAGTCTTAATAGCCGCGCACAGATGTCAGCCAGCGCGAGCTTTTTTTCATAGTAACCTGATCTTTATTAGAAATGGGTTAAACTGTGCGAATCATGGGTTTTCGCAATGCACGAACTAATGGGTATTATTGGCAATAGCACATATCTAAATATATTATTTATCTTCAGCTTTTGACAGGCTCTTAAGTTATTTAAGTACTGAGCAATTAATAGTGTTATATAATATTTAGATGGGACTGCTTTGCTGTTTTGCAAAAGTTAATTATACGGCAAACTTATGTATGTTAAATAGACTTTCACGCTCGTTAAATAGATGAAATAGCTAACAGGCTAATATATCTGAGATTCCAATATCGTTTGTGAAGTATGAGTGTGAATCATAAATAGAAGTATTTTATCTTGAAATAAATGGCAATTAATGAATTACTGTAACAATACTTACTATGAATCATACTATTGTACATTTTTGATTCATTTTTTAATGCGCATATGCATTTTATAGATAGCCAACTGTATTTTTAGTACTCAACGCTCATTTGGACGCTTCTTTGCAGTAGGGACCTCTTGAAGGGTGCGGCGATTGAACAGAAGGAATTACGTAAAAGCTTTATATTATATTATGGTATAGAACTTGACCATCTACGCCGTATAGCAGCCTAAATGCTGACGTTATTTTAAAGATAGTTTGGTACTCAACACCAAAATAACACTTAAAATGAATTGACTCTAATCAGGAACTAGCACTTAATTTTTACTATAAGTTAGGTGCCAGAAAAATCCAGAAGCTCATCTCATATTTATAATTTTAAAGATAAATATATAATAGAATTACAGAAACAAATAAATGCCATTTTTTTGGCTAAAGTTCAACTTATTCTTATATAGAATTATATTAGACTAGCAATATTTTCAAACAAGAAGCACACGAGCTAATGAAAAGAAAATTAATAATAAAATGTATTATAATATACGTCAGAGGCTATAGTCAAATATGTAAAGCCTAATATAAGAGAGGTTTTTGAAGAATGTTTGAAGCTAAAAGCATCTAGAGTAATAAAATGGTATTATTTTTTTTTGAAAGATCATTAATAGCAAATTAAAATATTTATACTTATATAATTTGGCATAATCTCGCACAGTCATCTGTCTTATAAATAGGACGCTTTGCTATAGGTAGTTGTCAACAGTTCACAAGCGATTTTCACTTTCCAATTGCGCGTCACACGCAATGCTCGCCCGACATCCCGCTCACAGAGGCATTTCACTTAAATATGATTGAATCAGTTTAATTGATTACACAAACACAGATTCACACAAATGTGAGAAATGCCTGTGTGTGTGTTTAAATATGCTCAACATGATTTGTTGTTTACGCTTATGATTTTGCTGCAACGCTTGCAATTTGCAATTTGAGGGCAGGTCAGTGCAGACCAGAGTCTCAGCTGTGCTGGCAATAAGTGAATCTGTTATGTTTA